AGTTGCAATGCCTTGCTGTTAAAATGAAGCAGATATATTTGGCAGACGCCCGAAGTTGTTTGGCAAAAATAACAATTGATACACTGAACTAACAAGCAAAGAGCTGTTGCTGGTCGGTGATGTTGATATATATAAAACTAAGAATAGTCTCTCCGGGCAGAGTTGCAGCCACGGTTATAGCAAATGGTGAAAAGGAATTTGGATTCCCTAACAATAAGTAAAATTGCAGATATTCTTTCTGGGACTTGCACCCTTACAGCAGAATTTAGTATTCTGCAAATGGTATAGGGACGACCAATTATGTGTACATCAACGAATAATCATATCCTATGATGTAAAGTACGGAAAAGTTTCTTTCGCTTGAAAATACTTCTTACAAGATAAAAAAAACTTTGTCTAAAAAGTAATTTAGAAAAAGTGATTGTAATTAACTTATCACAACAACATTGCAATGCAAAAATAATTTTCAAATATACACAGATTTTTTTAGTGTGCCTTACTTTTGTTTTTATTGTTTTTAAAATGAAGTTATATAATGAAACTCCTATAGATAAATATGTAANTTTCAAAAAGCCAACGGCCACTTTCAACCATCTGTCGATGACCGTTACGACTAAAAAAACTTCGCTAGGTCTTACTTTCAGGGGGAGGTCTTATATTTCGCAATTCAGCAAAATCTGTGCTAGGTCTTATTTTCTGCGGATGTCTTATTTTCGGGGAAACACGGTAATATCGTGCCTTGACCATATTTTTGTAAACCTTGCTTGAAAACGAGTACAAACAATTAACGAAACGTAGTGTCGTTATTTAAACGTAAACAATGTACAGAAAGTTCGAGATACAAGACATCTAAAGTAGCAACACACGTTACAATAGCCATAGCTTGAAGTTAAAAAGCGGTAGTCTGGCATTCCTAAAGCAACAGACTAGCGTGTTTGTCGCTTCGCAAAAAAAAACAGAAGTTAGATTTAAATAAAATTGTTATAAATGATATTAGAAGGAGGCCTGACATCGAAGTCATTGAATTCGATCAAACTCAATTAGGTTATCTTGGATCCCCAGCGACTGACAAGTGCCAAGTATGAAATGCAACACCAAAAACTAAAAGTCGAAAATTTATCAATCACTTAAAGCCCTCATAATATTAGATCTTCGCGACTGGTCGATGGCTTGTAGGAGCGCGCAGTCACCTTGAATGAAGAAAAGTCCCCATTGTAATAAATAGATTAAATAATAAAGCAAATTAATATGAAGCACAATAAATGTCAATATTTTAAAATAATTTCAAATATTTCAAATCGGTTTAAAATATTAAAATTTATCTCCAAATGTATTTTTTATTTTAGTTCTATGCTTTTACTTAAGTTAATGTTGCATATGTTATGCTGTCTATTACAAACGGAATACTTTGACGAAATAAAAACAAAGACAGATTTGTTTATTCAAATCTTTCGTCTGATGACAGAAAGATATAAAAGAAAAATGGGAGAAAATCATAATTTAGTAAAAAAAAAAAAAAAAAAGTTTTTATACGGAGAAGACTTACTAGTTAAATTGAGAGAAATATATTTGGTTGAAAAATGTGAAATTAGTAAAATCAATGTACCCGTATCAATGTACCAGATTCACAAATTGCTAACATTAACAGATAGACAGTTAAAGGAAAAGTTTCCAGAAGAAAAAGACTATCAATTTATATCAGGACTAGATATTTTTGCAAAGTATTCTGAGGTAGATGGAATCACTTGTTTCGATCTTATACATAGAAGCTTCTTCGACTTTATCGTTGCTCTTTGTTATTACCGTTCAAATCATATCGTTCTAGATCGTGCCGACGATGATACAATTCTAATGTTTCTCTGTGGTCTTTATGGAAATGAAGAGTTTTCAAATAATTTCATATACGCTATTCGACAGAATGTTTATTATCCTACAGTTTGCCTTCAATGTATTAACGAAATTATAATTGAAACTAACAAAAAATTATTTTGGTCAAATGCCAAAGTATATTTAGACTTTACCTGTTTAAAAATGATGACAATTATATTAAAGCTATATTGCTTTCGACTTTCCAAAATTTGTTGTCACCTCCTTAAATTCGATCTTTTCTATGAAGATGTTAAAAAAACACTGATAGATTTACACAACATTTACAAAGAATCTGATAAATTACAGATATTTTTATTTCCGGATGAATCTTTATCCTTGCGTTTAGAAGGGGATACCTTTCATAATGAAAATTTTGCAGAAAAGCTTTGTGATATTCGTCAATCTGTAGATCTCATTCAAAATTTAATAAATAGTTTCAAATGGGATAAATTTAAATTTTTTTTGTGGTGAATTTGCCCTTGGATGCATTGATCCTATCATTCCTTACAACTTGTATTATTCTTTCAAAGATGTCGAGAATCCTTCAGTAATTTCAGAAGATCTTGAACAAGTATTGCAAGAAACAAGTAAAAATCTAGTTGCTCTTCTTAGTGATGTTGAAGAAGCTGGAGAAGTCAAATACTTGATTTCTACTGAACAATATTCGAGTCTAAAAGATAATATCAAGCTTTCATCTGATGATAAATGAACATTAAATAGCAAACTGGAATAAACTATACTTGTATTTTTAATATAATTATTGTGATATTCAAAAATGTGATATAATCAAGTTATCCGAATTAATTTATGATCACTATTTTCTACAATAAAAATAATTCATGTACTATAATTACCTTTATAATAACAAAAACAACGAATAAATGATATTCTTATCCAGTTAATTTTTGGAGTAATATAAGCTCAAATGTAAATTGCAATGAATATATATCTTTAATACTTTGTGAAATTTACAGCTTATGTTGCAATATTAAATTTATAATTAGATTTTAGTATTTGTAATTATCATATTTACTTTATGTGTACAATAAATATGAGATAATAAAAACGTTTATACCTCAATTTTGAAAAAAAAATGTATCTGAGCTCAATACAATGTAGAAAAACAACTTATAAATAAATATGTTCAATGCTTAATAAAATATTTTAAAGTTTTAAATGTAAGCATTAATCTTTTAATGTATAATTATGAAGTATATTCTGAAAATTTCGTATAATAAACTGTTTGTATTTCAACAACTGTTATTATTTTACATTGTTTTTATTTCTTCAATTATGGCAACATAACACTTATATGATCTGCCTAGGGGTAAATCCGGAAAATCCATTTAATAGTAAGTGACCCCCATTCAATCATTTCAGACGTGGAGAAAACCCATAAAACAATACGTGGCCAGCCCGTTTTGGCGAGGTGCGACCGCGCTTGATGTTGGGTGAACAGAACCGCTTGTCACTGGTAGACGCTTCACCTTATAGTTTTCTTTTACATGAAATTCATATAGTTTACTTTTTGATAATAACTATTGCTTGGGCAAAGTCAAGACTAACGTTTGCAGTTTGTTGTCCAAGTTTTTAAACAAAATTTTTACGTTAGTTTTTCATGAATTTCGTTTCATAATATTCAGCTGACGGCTCGCGTAAGCATAAATTATTTCGTTGTGAATATAATCTACTCCAAGATAAGATATAATCAAAGAACCTTAAACATTCTACGAATTTTGGCATTTTTTCTTGCTGTTTTCTGAAATATAAAGCCAGAAAGTTAATACATATTCTTGCAGAGTTTAGTGAATATCGGTTTATCTATCTGAGAAATTTATCGGAGAATAAGTACTGTGAACTCGGATAATTTATGGTTGTTCATTTCTTCATTAGACAAGTCGATAATTTAATGTTTATTAATTTTCTTATAACGTTTACTTATCATTGATTACTTTTCAGTTACGGTAATAATTTTAACTAAATAATTTACGAAAGAATAATTTTAATAAATAAGAAGATACTTTATAAGAAACTCCTTAAACATGATCGCTGAAAATGTTTAAATAATTCGATGATACTCAGTTTATTATAAAAATATTTACTATAAAAATACAGTAAAACCTGTGTAAACTGGAATCGCACGGTACTGAATAGTAAAATTATAAACCTGTATTTCCTGTATTTGAAAATACATGAAAATCGAAACTACTGTTTAGATGTGTTCTTTACTTATTAGTATTGTTAAATAATAATTAAACAACAATTTAATAAGTTTTTTTATAACGAAATGAAAAACAAAATAATTTTATGAGTATTAAAATATACTGTATAATAAATTTACTAAAGGAATACTTGTATTATTATGTAGCTAATTCTTCTGAGAAGAAAAAACAACAAGCTATAGGGTCATATAGTAAAATCCTACCCTACTCGACGACTTCCTTTATCTTTCAACCCCTCGACCTTTAACCACAAAAATTCAATAGCATCATTCCCTTTATAAATAATCCTCCATGCAAAATTTAAGAAATTTTCGATAAATATATAACATTAATATTTTTTAAATTCACATATTACCAGTTTTATAAATATACACAAATGAAATACAATGTACTGTACGTGATTTTATCAGAACCTTCACAATATTCGCATTTAGTCATATCAAACTCAGTATTCTAATACAGTACAATTAAACCTCGATTTAGAGTATCCAATTGTTCTCTATACAAACTGGCACTAAATTGGAGGACCTCAAACAACGAAAGTTATATATATTCATAGAATATACACAAAAATTTGTGATTGACTGTGCAAAATAAACGTCTTTAAGTTGCAATTAAAAAAATTGTACACCTATAAATTTGCACTTATGTTACATGGAAATGTTTTCATCACAGACAATGTTCACCACCTGCAAAATTTTTGGAATATACATAAATTTCTTGATCCAGATATGCTGGATATTACCTGACCTGTGTTCTCACGGCNTTTCAGCTACAATAGTTCTTCAGTAATGAAAATGATGTAACACCTTAAGGTTCTCTCGACTTTAACTACAAGTACACGATTTTGTGTTAATTATTATGTTTTACAGCAAACATATTTGTCTTATAACCATATAATAGGTATTAAAAATAATTCTATAACATTTTAATTAACATATTAAGTCTTAATTATTGTAACATTACAGGCATTGGAATGTTTGACCTTAGATACCTCAGTTACAGCAACAGGAAGAATAGCAGACAGTAATTATTTTTTTAAATATACAGTAAATCTCTACAAGAAAATAAAAACACTATTTTATAATATACTTTATCACTATTATTAGGAATTAATATAAAAGACTCAACCGTCCATGTAGGAAATGTTTTTAATATACAACAACCATCAAGTTCAACTGATAAAAATGATTCAGGTAATTGCAAATAATATAAGCTGGAGTATCTTTTTTAAAATTAAGTATTAATAATAATAATATATAGAAACAATTGATATACAGTATATTATTAAAGTTTAAGTTTATAATAGAAATTAATAAATGACGATAAATAAGTGAAATTTGTCTAAATATTCCAGAAATTTTTGTTAAAAAATTCCTGTAGCCTACATAAGACATGTTATAATTATCTACTGACTTTTATTGTTAGAGCAAAAATATAAAAATTAGAATTAACTGTACACTTTGCCTAGTAGATAGCAATTTTTGCATCAAACCACTTGCAGATATATTAGATTATTTGGTCGCAAATATAAAATAAACTTTTAAAATATAATGTGGCATTTTCTTGATTGTTTACTCTCGCAGCTTATACTATTATGTTGCCTTTATTTAACATTTAATTCTAAAATTAAATAACATTAAAACATAAATGTATATTGGCTTTACAATTCTTAAATTAAAATAAATTGTATTTTTTACTTGTGTAAGACTGATAATAATAAAATAATTTATTTACTCCATAAAAGTTCAAAAATACATATGATTATGTGTAGAAGTAATAGTTATTAAAGTTTAAAAAATCTAATTAAATGCCCAAGAACAGTCTCATGAATCCACCTTAGGTGAGGTTTTTTCTGTTTTCTTCACACGACTGACACCTAAAAAATCCAATTGCCCATAAATGTTTTACAAAAAAAAATGCAAACTCCATTGTGCTAATTGTATATTTTCTAAATAAATTTGTTTAAAAAGTTTTTTTAAGTTTGTAATTTAAAAATATAAGTTTATAAAAATTCACAAATTTTTGTAGTTCGAATCTTTCGTTTCGTAAGTTTATATTCGAGATTCACGCATGAAGATGGATGGCGTATGAAATACGTCCAGAAAACATTAATGTATTATTTGATTAAACAATATCTCAGCAAATGCTAGTTGTTATAGTATTGTTGTCATATCTGCGAAATGCAGTTTACTATTAGCAATTTAAAAAATGATTTCAAACATTACATTCTTCACATTTTATAATAATTTCTGTACTTTTTACTTCGACATTTTTCCTAATGTGCAAACACATCGTGCTACATTTGTGTGCAAGCTCAAATATCCCTATTATAGCTCTGAGACCACACACATCCGTACCTATATGAAAACACTTGTTTCACAGTAATATCAATCAGCGTAGGGAGGATAGGGAACGACAACAAATTAATATTATTCATGATGCTGGTTGAAAGATTAGTTTAAGCTTGATCCTAAATTTAAAATTCTTTACAATGATAACGTGACAAGTTGTTTGATGTATTTAAAATTTACACACGTAGTGTTTAAATTAGTAATCTTAAATTTTTCAAGTATAATAAAAATTATAAAATATATTTATTTGTTTTAATATTTTTCAGAATTTTTTCAGATAAAGAGAGAAACTTTAATTAATTATCACAAGACTAAAAATGCTTACATGAAATCTTTGTTGTGGAGTGAAAGAAGTAAAGACTTTCCCTTAACAGACTACTTCATCGAACTTACTGTTCAGAAAGCAGATTTCTTATGTAAAATAGCAGGAGAAACTATTCAGTTTACACAGATTTTTCCAAAATCAATCGACACACATGTTGCAATGTTAGTCACTGGTGATCCCGGTTATGGCAAAACTACATTTTGTCAGAAAATAGCCTACGATTGGGGTACAGATACTTCCCGTACCGATTACTTAGGACATTATGATTTTACTGTCGTTATTGTTTTGCGAGAATTAAAGAAGAAAAGTATAACAGATGAGATTCTCCAACGTATCTGTGAAAACACAGATACCAATTCTAGAGATAAATTAAGACAAAGAGGATTTAATTTATTAATCATTCTGGATGGATTCGACGAAATAAATGGTAAAGATTTGATTATACAGTTTATTGAAAACGATTCATTTTATATTTCGAAACAAATGACAATTCTTGTTACTTGCCGTCCTTACGCTGCCGAAAATATAAGAGAATACTTTAATATGAGATTCATTATTGAAGGATTTTCACAAGAACTGAAAGAAAAGTATATTAAATTGGTTATTAATGATGATAACGGCAGACGGGATGAACTTATAAAGTTGATAAAATTCAGTGATTTTCATTCTGCCTTAGCTGAATGTCCATTAATGTTGCATATGTTATGCTGTCTACCACAAACTAAATACTTTTGCAAAATAAAAACAAAGACCGATTTGTTCATTCAAATCTTTCGTCTTGTAATAAAAAGATATATGAGAAAAATGGAAAATGAACATAATTTAATAAAAGGAAAGTTTTTCTACGGAGAGGACTTAGTAGTTAAATTGGGAAAAATATATTTGGACATTATATTTAAAAAAAGAAAAATAGGTAACATAATGTATTTTTTTGACATTCACGAATCGCTAATTTTATCAGATAAACACTTAAAGAAACAGTTTTCAGAAGAAAAAGACTACCAATTTATATTAGGACTAGATATATTTGCAAAGTATTCTGAGGTAGAAGGAATTCGTTATTTCGATTTTATACATAGAAGCTTTCTCGAATTTATCATTGCTCTTTGTTACTACCATTCCATGCAAAACGCTGGAGATTGTCATTACGGTTCTGCAATTCTACCGTTTCTCTGTGGTCTTTATGGAGATGAAAAATTTTCAAATGAATTCATAAACATCATTGAACAGCATATTTATTTTCCTCTGATTTGGGATGACTGTGTTAAAGAAATTAAACATATAACCAACAAACAAATATTCCTTGTAAAAGCTAAAATATGTTTTGATTATTTCTGTCTAGAAATGATGACAATTTTATTTCAGCAACGTTTCTTTCACCTTTCTCAAATTTATTTTCATTTTCCCAACACAAGAAAATCGTATGAAAAAATTAAAAAACAACTAATAGACTTACACAACATTTACAAAGAATCTGATAAATTGGAAATATTTTTATTTTTGGATAAAAGTGTTATATTCTTAGAAGCGAATAGCATTAATAGTGAACCTTGTTCAGAAAAGATGTATGATATTCGTCAATCCGTAGATCTCATTCATAATTTAATAAATAGCTTTAAATGGGATAAATTTAAAATGTTTTTTAGTGGTGTACTTTTCATTAAAAGTGTTTATAATCCTGTTCTACATTACAACATGTATGATTTTTTCGAAGATGTCGAGAATCCTGCAATAATTCCGAAAGATCTTAAACTGAAATCGCATGAAACAAATAAAAATTTTGTTGTTCTCGTTACTAAAAATAAATTGATTGGAAAAATCAAATACTTGATTTCTAATGAACAATATTTGAGTCTAATATCAAGCTCTCATCTTATAATAAATAAACAGTAAATAGCAATCTGGCATAGAACTGTATTTGCATTTTTAATATAATTATTATGATATTTAAATTGTGATATAATTATGTTTTCTCAATTAACTTATAATCAATACTTTGTATAATACTAAGTCAATATTTTGTGCAAAAAAAAAAATAATTAATGTACAGTACTATAATTACAGTCTGTCAGAGAAGTATAGGAACACCATAAATTTTGTGTTTATTCAAAATTTATTTTCAAATTATTATTGGAAATATTATTAACTATTTTTATCATTATTTTAATTATTTTATCAGGATTTTTACATTTCATAAAGCAGAATAATTTTTTTACAAATATTCGTTCTTTGATGTGTTATATAAGTAAAGGTACTCCACCTAAAATCTGTAAAAAATTAATTTATCATAATAATAATTAAAATTTTCACGACTAGAGTGTGATGTTATCATTTTTAACTATAATGATAGCTTTTTTGAAGGTTATATAAACATTTTCAACAATGCCTCTTGGAACTGTATTTCAGGAGCAAGAAATATGTCAAATTTATTATTTCTGTGGATCAGGCAAGTCTTTGAAGCAAATTGCTGCAGCTATAAATAGATCTACGAATGCTATTCCAAATTTTTTTCAACAAATTAAAAATTATGGAAAAATAGAAGTTCGGGATCTCCTAAATGTTTAACATGCAAGAATGAGAGAGAAGTTTTCAAGCTTATAACTAATAAAAACATGTCAACAGACAAGTTGCAGCTGAATTATCAATAGGTATATCTCATGTGACTGTTTGGAGAACTTTAAAAAACAATGACAATGTAAAATACTTAAAGTGAAGATGAAGCTACCTTTAACTGCCAAACACAAATCAATGCGTTTAAACTGGGCTAAAGACAAGATGGGATAGACCGAAGAATGGCAAGAAATAAGTTCAGTGATGAAAAGAAGTTCAATTTAGATGGCCCTGATGGTTTTTATATTATTGGCTTGGTTTAAGAAGAGAAAGCAGAGTTAAAATAAGCCAACAAGAAGGGTCTGAATCTATAATGATTTGGGGTGGTTTTGGAAGTAAATGAAATGAATGGTGAGGTAAAACTGAATTCGTATTTGTTGACAAAATATGATTACATTTGGTGCTTTACGTATTAATATATGTCATAAATATTAGTTTCAACAAGATAATGTTCCCATTCGTGCCTCAATGTCAACAAAAATTGATTTAAATAAGAAAATATTGATGTAATTGACTGGCTTTAACGTAGTCCAGATTGAATCCCATTAAAAACTTATGGGGGATTTTAGCAGCCATTGTTAATGAGAATAAGAAACAATATGAATCGGTAAATCAACTTAAAATAGCAATAATGCATGCATGAGATGAAATTAAGGATGAACAATTAAAAAATTAATGAACTCCACGCCTAACAAAATTTCTAAAGTAATTATAGCCAAATGAGGTGAAACCAAATATTAAAAGTGTTTAAAATATATTTAAAAATTATTTTTATGTAATGTATAAAGTGTACTTATACTTTTGTAACAAGTAAAAAGTGAAAACTGTGATAACTTCTATTATATTATTATTAAAAGATAAAATGCTTGAAAATGATAATTTTGTAATTCTTTTAAAACATATAAAACTATTTTCTATAAAAAAATGTAAATGAATTTTGAAAAATCACAAAATTTGTGTTGTCCCTATACTTTTGTAACAGACTGTACCTTTATAATAACAAAAATGACAAATACATAAAATTCGTATCCAATCAATTCTTGGAGTAATATAAGCTCGAATGTAAATTACAATGAATTTAAAAGAAATTTATCAGTTACTGTTAACTCTTATAAATTATATCATTAATTTATTCTTACATGATGTTTGCCTTTATTGATTTATCAAAAATATATGATATTTTTAATACTTTGTAAAATTTACAGCTTATGTAACATTGAATTTATAATGAACATCGAGATTTCTGTTCTGTAATTAGCATATTTAGTTTGTGTGTACAGTAAATATAAGAGATTAAAAATGTTTTCTTCTTAATTTTGGGGGAAAAAATGTATCTGAGCTCAATACAAAGTAGAAAAACAACATATAAATATGTTCAACGTTTAATGTAATTATTTTAAAGTTTTAAATATAATCATTAATAATTCACAAAAGAATTGTGAAGTATATCCTGAAAATTTTGTATAATAAAGTGTTTTTATTTTAACAACTGTTATTATTTTACCTTGTTTTCGTTTGTTTAGTTACAACAACGCAACACTTGGATGATCTGCCTATGGGAAGATGCTTTCCGGGAGGTCTTTTTAAGAGTAACTGGCTTCAATTTAAGCATTACAGACTTGGAGAAAACACAAAAAAACAACACGTGGCCAGGCCGTCCAGGCGATGCGCAAACTGCTCCTGGTGTTCTGGGAACAGAAGCGCTTGGCCACTGATGAACCCTTTACCTTATACTTTGTTGTTACATGACATTCATGATTATTTCAAATTAATATATTTTATTTTTTAATAATAATTATTGCTTGGGCGAAGCCAAGAGTAACTTTTTCAATTTGTTGTTCAAGTTTTTGTACAAAATTTCCACGTTATATTTTAATGATTTTCATGTCAGAATACTCAAAAAAATGCTATTGTGTGCATAAATTTTAAGCTTTTAAATATAATCTATTCTTAGATAAGATATAATCAAAAAACCCTTAAAATTCGACGTTTTGTAACAAGAAGGTATTTTAACATTTTTGGTGCTGTTTTTTGTAGCATAAAACCAGACAGCTGCTACTAATTATAGCAGAGTTTGGTGAATTTCGGTTGAACTATAAAAAAGTTATCCGACAAAAAGTTCTTTGAACTCGGATAATTTTTTGCGCTTCATTTCTTTATTACACGTTAATAATTTAATTTAAATTAACATTCTTACAACGTTTACTTATCATTAATTATTTTTCAGGTAATAATTTTAACTAAATAATTAATGGAAGAATAATTTTAATAAATAAGAAGAGACTTTATAAGAAACTTCTAAAACATGATGCTGAAAATGTTTAAATAATTCGATAGTACTCCGTTTATTATAAATATATTTACTATAAAAATGCCAATACAGTAAAACCTGTATAAACTGAAATCGCACAGTACTAAATATTGAATCCTGCAAGGCAGGTTTCCGTTTTAAACAAGTTTTACACATAAAAAATTGATTTGTTTCGAAGATGTTTTTTCTGTTATATTCAGGTACCATTTTCGACAAGTTTTACTGAATAAAAATAAACTTCTTCAAACAAAATAATTTGTACATATAATATTTTAATTAATTTTTAATAAATTACAAAATTTTTTCCATCATTTACAGTAGCCTTTTCCTAGATAATTTTTATAAATAGAACATCATAACAAGAAAAATACGTTAAAAATCTATGTAAACAAAGCCTTCAACTATATTAACTTACATACACTCTAACTTTATTATATAAAATTCATTTATGACGTTCTAACTTATAAAGTTATAATGCATTATAAATAACGTACGAAACAAAATATTATATTTTATGATATTTATATTATATAAATCAAAATGGATTCGATATGATTAGTTTATACAGATTTGTTGCGTACAATTCACTTACATACAAAAATTATAAACCCGTATTTCCAGTAAATGAAGGAATATCGGAATCAAAATAGAGGAATATCGAAGCTACTGTTTTGATGCATTGTTTACTCATTAGTATTTTTAATTAATTAATTAAACAACAACTGTAACTATAATAAAAGCAAAATAATTTTATGAGTAGTAAAATATACTGCATAATAAGTTTACTGAAGGAATACTTGCATCATTATGTAACTATTTTTTTAGAATAAAAACAAGTTGTAGGATCATAAAGTCCTACTCAACGACTTTATTTATCTTTCCATTCATCGACCTTTAATTACAAAAATTAAATAGCGTCAATCCCCTTATAAATAATCTTCCCTGCAAAAGTTACATATTATCAGTTTTATAAATATTTACAAATTTAATATAATGTACTGTACGTGATTTTATCAGAATCTTCACAATATTTGCATTTAGTCATATCAAACTCAGTATTCTAATACAGTACAATTAAACCTCGATTAACAGTATCCAATTCTTTTCTGTACAGGCTGGCACTAAATTGGAGGACCTCAATCAACGAGAGTTATATGTATTCATAGGATATACACACAAATTTGTGATTGACTGTGCAAAATGAACGTCACTAAGTTGCAATTAGAAAAATTGTACACCTATAAATTTGCACTGTCCTATGTTACATGGAAAATGTTTTCATCACAGACAATGTTTATCACCTGCAGAAGGTTTGGAATATACATAAAATTCTTGATCCAAATATGTGCGATATTACTGTGTTCTCACGGTCTTTATCAATTAGTTGTAAATATAAAAATTTGCTTTTTCCCAACAAATGCATTGATAGAATCAATGGAAAAAATGTTTCTGATATGAGCTACAAGAAAGATTGTTTAGAAAAAAAATCTTCCAACAATCCTCATCCAAAGCCTCTTTGTCCATTTGGGTACAAAGCTAAATGTTTTATTCTTGCACACGAAACACATGAAAGTTGCAGATAAGTCAGTGAAAGAGAATGAATTTATTAAGTCAACTTACCGCTGATTTTTTTCTTTATTTCATTAATAGGTGACTCAAATATTTAATTCTGACAAAGCTGAAAAAATTGAAGATGCAAAAGTTGCAATGCCTTGCTGTTAAAATGAAGCAGATATATTTGGCAGACGCCCGAAGTTGTTTGGCAAAAATAACAATTGATACACTGAACTAACAAGCAAAGAGCTGTTGCTGGTCGGTGATGTTGATATATATAAAACTAAGAATAGTCTCTCCGGGCAGAGTTGCAGCCACGGTTATAGCAAATGGTGAAAAGGAATTTGGATTCCCTAACAATAAGTAAAATTGCAGATATTCTTTCTGGGACTTGCACCCTTACAGCAGAATTTAGTATTCTGCAAATGGTATAGGGACGACCAATTATGTGTACATCAACGAATAATCATATCCTATGATGTAAAGTACGGAAAAGTTTCTTTCGCTTGAAAATACTTCTTACAAGATAAAAAAAACTTTGTCTAAAAAGTAATTTAGAAAAAGTGATTGTAATTAACTTATCACAACAACATTGCAATGCAAAAATAATTTTCAAATATACACAGATTTTTTTAGTGTGCCTTACTTTTGTTTTTATTGTTTTTAAAATGAAGTTATATAATGA